TTACGTGCGCTGATCATTCGTCGAAGACGCGAGACAAGATCCCCTGAAAGTACCAGGCCACTCGGGTCCTGACAGCCGCCGTTTGCAGTCGTCTTTCGTCGAAGCCGCGAGGCAGGATATCCAAGGAACACGGGGCCCCTTGAGGCCTAGCAGCTGAGGTTCGCAGGATGTACGAGGCGGGTCGGCAACTCTCTTCTTAAAACCTAACAACCCAGCCCGTCATATGGTGGGACAAAAAAAACGCACGCGCCACCATTCGCACTGCATAGAGGAAGAAAAAGCTGCATAAGCATAAACTCTTGGCGTTCCGCGCGGATTTCTTGGATCTGCGCTGGACCCCCCTCCCTGGCGCGCGGAGCGCGCCAGGGGCGGCGCCAGAGACGCCGCCGGGGGGGCCCCAGCGCGGAGCCAAAAAATCCGCGCGGAGCGTCGGAAGTTTATGCTTGTGCCGTTTTTTCTTCTTCGATTGCAAGGAAAGACAGAAGCGAATCGGGACATCTGACTACCTACCAGACCACCCCAACCCAACCCGAAGACCCCAATTTCGGGTTGGGGGGGGTACGGGTTCCAGATGTGTTTTTTCAGTGTTCCCCGACCCCCCCCCCCCAACTGGAAATGGAGGGCAGATTGAGGCCTTCGGGTTGGGTTGGGGTGGTTTGGTGGGCGGTGAACATCGGACCGAATCGGAGTGTCGTCAGGGCGGATCGAACCTCGGAGAGGGGTTGAGATCGGACGGGCATCGGCCGCGCCGGGGGTGCACGGCACGCGCCCCCTGACAGCTCGGAGGCCGCAGCGGGCCGACCGGGCATCGGGAGCGAAAGTCGGCTACACGCAGGAGCGACCCTGGGTAAGAGCGACCTTTGGTGCGCGGCTGTTTGGGGGCCGCGGGGGGACCAAACGCAGGCGCGCAGGACGCTAAAAATCGCATCGCGCTCGGCGACAGGGGGGCCCCCCTGGGCCCGCACCGAAGGTCACTCCGGCGGAAGGTCACTCTTACGCCTGGTCGAGGAAGTCGGACCGAGCCGGCCGAAGACTGCATCGGGACAGAGCGACGGGACCGAGACCCGCACGTGATCGCGTCGTGGACGAAGCGGGACGGGAGGTTCCTGGCCATCTTCGGCCCCGGGGGGCCCTCGCCGGGCCTCGGCACCATCAAAAAACGGCTCGGGACGAAAAACCGGTCCCAGGGGAAGGGTCGGGAATTCCAGGGACGCTGTCCTTAGGGGGCAAACAAACCTACCTCGCTTTTGACCACCCTCGCTTCCAAGAGATACCAAACGATGCCAAATTGCAGCCTGCACTGGTCAGGACGCTTGACGAGGAGGCGCGTGGTATGGCTTGGTTTTGCCTGGAAGCGAAAGCGGGGTAGGTAATTCACGCTCTGAGTCCTGAAAGAATCAGGACGTCGCATGTCTCGGGATGAGCCCTAAAATGCCAAAATCGGAGGAGGGCCAGTTGAGTTCGGCGCCAACTCGTGGGGGCCTCCCGTACCATCTTGTCGGCTCTTGCGAAGTGAAGCTAATGGATGCTAAATCGACGCTAATCGACGCTAAATCGACGCTACTCGACGCTGAATCGACGCTGAGCGCTGGCCGACGCTAAACTGGCGCTATCTCATCGACTCCCAAACGCTAATCGACGCTAATCGACGCTGAAGACGGAATTAACAGGGTACGCCAGGAGCCCGTGAATTGCTGCCGAAGCTGAGACAGCAGCGGCTCTCCCGCCAAGCCCAAAGGCACTCAAAATCGGCCCCTGGACCCTTCCCGCGGGCCATCCTTCTGCTGCAACCTCGGGGGACCTTGTCTGTCCCTATTCGCGTCGAATTCCGTGTCGAATCAATGTCGGCCTCGTCGGACCTGTGTCGGCTCCGTGTCGAATCCGCGTCGGACCCGCGCCAAATCCGCGTCGAGTCCGCATCGAGCCCGCGTCGAGCACAAGAAAAGACACAATTTCTTCGGGGATGGACAGACCCCCCTTTAGTAAAACGTGGTTTCGTGAAAACGACCTCGGGCCCAAATCTGGATCTGGCGGGCGCAAGCCTGGAGAGCGACGGCCGCGGCGCCCTCTCGAGAACCGAAAACGGACAATTCACCAATCGACGTGTCAGGGCGGGCATTTTGTCCGCCCCCGAGTTTGGGGGACAAGCGAGGTCCCCCGAAGATGCAACGTACTCCAGATTTCGTAATAAAGGGGAGGGGGTCTCGACCCTCCCAGACGAGAAGTTTCAGACCCCCCCCCGTGGGAGAACCCTCCAAAACACCGTCCCCAGACCCCCCCAGGCCCTCCAAGATGGCCTGGAAGAGGAGGAGGAGGAGGCGGAGGCGGAGGATGAGGAGGAGGAGGAGGAGGAGGAGGAGGAGGAGGAGGAGGAGGCCCCCGAAATGAGACCCCCCTCCCTTTTATCACGAGATCTGGAGTAGCCACTCTCACCCGGCGCTCGAGGGGAACCCAGCTGCGGCATCGAGGAGCCTCCAGGAGGCGCACGGGGAGAGGAACGAGGGCCGCCGCTGTCTCGACCGGCCCTGCTCCGCCTCCTCCTCCTCCTCCTCTTCCTCCTCCGCCTCCTCCTCCTCCTCCGCCGCCTCCTCCGCCTCCTCCTCCTCCTCCATCCCTCCTCCTCCCTCCTCCTCCTCCTCCTCCTCCTTCCTCCTCCTCGCCTCCTCCTGCTCCTCCTGCTCCTCCTCCTCCTCCTCCTCCTCCTCCTCCTCCACCTCCTCCTCCTCCTCCTCCTCCTCCTCCTCCTCCTCCAACTCGTCCTCCTCCTCTTCCTCCTCCTCCTCCTCCGACAAAGTCGCGCGCCGCCGCCGGCCTTGTTTGAGCAGCACCAGGCCTTTCGGGTCGGACGAGAGGGGGGATAACACAAGGGAGGTGTCGCAAATCAGCTCACGCAACTGGCCCGACACGAGACGCCCGCGAGGCCCCAAAGAGACCCCCAAGAAGCCCCCAAGAAGCCCACAAGAGGCCCCCAAGACCATACGCGGTCCCAGAGATAGTGCGGCGAATGTCAGAGTCAAAGACGAACTACGACTTGCAGGAGTGGTGGCCAGTTCACGCATCGCCAGAACTAGCTGGAAATGGACACTGCCTCTACGCCACCGCAAGGAAGGCAACTCGGGTCAACCACAGTACTTCTCACGCCGAGACTAATGCCTGCGTTGGTGGACTTCAAGTGGCGCAGTTGATTGCATCAAGGATGTCAGAGCTGTTTTCACCAGTTCTGATCGGTCGACCAGTTAAAACGCTACAGCTATTGAAGATGGAGCAGAATGACCCATGTTGGTGCGTGACGGCTTGCATGGCCTTGTTCGAGCTTGTCTCAGGCAGCCGTAGTTCGACGACGGGTAAGACCCAGAGGATCTCGATCATGTCGCTCAGAGACGACTACTTGACTGCAAAGTTTCGCTGGATCACGCACGTACTCACAGCTGGCATGGTGGCAAAAGGATAACTAAGTTTGGCATTTACCTACTGGAGTTCGAGGTGTGCACAACCAGAAAATGCAGATGGACGCCACAGCAAGATGAGCGCATTCGAACAAACGCAAGTCTAATCAAACCTGACTGTGACGAACACGACTTCCGACACGGAACCATGTAGATGTGTCAAAGCTACGACGACCAGGGTGAGGAGTCTCAGAGTGAGTACATCACGAAGTACGACGAACATTACATCACCCACGGCTTCGACATGCTGGACTTCTCTGGCTGAGACACAGTAGGCAGAGAACTAGGAAGCAGAGTAAAGAGAGCAAGATACAAGCGTTGTACCTTTAGAGCTGTAATTATAATGGCCCTAGAGCCCGAACAGCAGTTCCTATCGAGATGTGTTTGTGCCGACTGATGGGGCTCAAGGCTAAGAAACCAACTCCTCCCCCCCCCCCCCTCCGCCCCCCCTTCCCCTCCGGTTCCCGTCCCTCACCACCCTGCCCCCCCACTCCGCCACCCCCCTCGCCCACACTTCCCCCCACTGTCTCCCTCTTCCCCCTCCCCACTACCCCCTCCGCCCCCCGCCTCCTGTGCAATGCATCAACAGATCACTGCAGAACTCGGCGCCCCCCAGCGCCGGAGGCGCCAGGGGCCGAGAGCAACTGCACGCAGCTGGCCCCTTGGCAGGGACGTCCATCCCCTGCCAGGGTGACAGGAGTGCCCTCTCGGACGGGCCCCCCCCGGGGGCCCGGGGTTAGTCGAAGCTCCCCCCCTCTTTCCCACCTTCACTGGCGCACGATCCTCCCACATCCTCGACTTCCAAGAGGGGGCGGGGGGTGGTGACTCCCCCCTGCTGGTGACCCCCCCCCCCTTGGTTGCATGACAATCGACCCCCAACCCAAAAAAACAGGACTGCCCATGTTGGACATAAACTCAAAACTCTCTGTCGCCAGATGGTTTATCATGAACCACGTCTCCATCCCAGAGCGGGGGGGGGGGGGAAGGGACCTGCGACTCCTTGACAAGAACCTTGTCCCGATGTGTGGCCAGTGTGGTCGCCGCGGCGACCGCCAAAACCAACCCGGAGGCCTGGTACGGGGTCGGACATTATGGGCGCGCCCGACCCGACAACATGTTATGACCATGCTGTGGCTTAGCGTCTGCCGAGCGGTTAACGGCCAAGAAGCGCCCGCCACGGAGAACGCACTGCTAGACTTCCCGGCGCGCGCGCCGCCACTGGCGGGCCCGGCGCACACACAGTACCCGTATGACGGTGTGACGCCGCTATCGCCCGAGCAGGGAGGAGGAAGGAGGAGGGGGAGGGGGAGGAGGAGAGGAGGAGGAGGAGGAGGAGTAGGAGGGGAGGATGAGGAGTGAGGGGGGGAGAGGAGGAGGAGGAGGAGGAGTAGGAGGAGAGAGGGGGAGGAGTAGAAGGGGGGAGGGAGGAAGGAGAAGGTGGGGAGAAGGAGGAGGAGGAGGGAGGAGGAGGACGAGGACGAGGAGGACGAGGAGGAGGAGGACGAGGAGGACGAGGAGGAGGAGGAGGAGGAGGAGGAGGAGCAACAGGCCCGCATCGTCCGCCCCGCACCTTCTGGTTGGCGCTCCACGGGCCCCCCGCGTTGCAGTCGAAGCCGCTGGCGGCCGCCGCGCCCGGCGGCGCGGCCGCCACGGCGGCGCCCTCTGGGGCCGGCGGCCAGGCGCCTTCCATGAAGGGGCCCAAGGACACACTTGGTGGTCTCCAAACCAGGTGGTGAGACACCCGGTGGTGACCCCGTGTCCCCAAAGAAATAATTGTGGGTCACCACCGGGTTTGAGGACACGCGGTCGCCACGAGGTTTTGCGTTTCCTGGGCCAGCCAGCGCTCGAAAACCATTACCCAAATCGCCCAAAACTCACCACCGGGTGTTCTCACCACCACGTGTGGGGACCACCAACACACAAATAAATACACACAAATAAAAATGTTCCCCATAGTTTCCGATATTCTGTCTTCCCCCCACGTCCCGTATTACCTAACAGCGAAGACTGATAGGTTTCTAGTAGGCTCAAAAGAGAGCATCTTGACTCCCCAGGGGGGTCTGGGCAGACGGGTGCCGGGGAGAATCCGCGGAAGTCGTTTTAAGCAAACAGTTACACACCTCGTGGTCTTCGAGGTCCCAGAACTCCATTCCTGGGCATGTTTTTGAATGTCCGGAGCCAACTGTAGGCCACTTCGTGGTCTTCGAATTCCCAGAACTCCATTCCTGGGCATGATTTTGAATGCTCGGAGCCAACTGTAGGCCACTTCGTGGTCTTCGAGTTCCCAGAAGTCCATTGATGGGCATGATTTTGAATGCTCGGAGCCAACTGTAGGCCACTTCGTGGTCTTCGAGTTCGCAGAACTCCATTCCTGGGCATGATTTTGAATGCCCGGAGCCAACTGTAGGCCACTTCGTGCTCTTCGAATTCCCAGAACTCCATTCCTGGGCATGATTTTGAATGCCCAGAGCCAACTGTAGGCCACTTCGTGCTCTTCGAATTCCCAGAACTCCATTCCTGGGCATGATTTTGAATGCCCGGAGCCAACTGCAAGCCACTTCGTGTTCTTCGAGTTCCCAGAACTCCATTCCCGGGCCACATTTTGAATGCTGAGGCAGGCTGAGGCTGAGGCTGAGGCAGGCTGATGCTGAGGCAGGCTGAGGCTGAGGCTGAGGCTCATGCAGGCTGA